TAAACAAATAAATAAGAAACTAGAGCTGTGTATATGATCTTTCCAAAAAGCTATGATGGATCCGAGATGTCTAGAGATTTCTTTACAGTGAGGTGCTTTGCCCAGTGAGTGAATCTGATCTACACAGGATGTGCAGGATGAATGTAAAATTTAGAAAATTCCAGGGTTCTCCATTTCACTCCATCCCACATACCCACATCAGAGGAAAAGAAGAAATTACAGAGAAGAAAACTCCTTCATCTGGTAGAGCACAGGGGTGAGATCCTACCTTCATTTAGGTTCCCTGAAACGCAAACCCTAAGGACACAGATGCAGGTGGTCTCTCTGGGAGGTGATTGCAGAAGTAGGGAAAGGTAGGCTGGAAGGGAAAGGTGGGAGGGAGCTGCATGAGGGTGACATTAGTCAGTTCTCCTGTTACTGGGACAAAATATCCCACGTCCACAACTTGAAGGAAGAGGGTTAATTTGGGTCATGTTTCCAGGGATTCAGTCCATGGAGGCTGACTCCAAGACAGAGAACATGGCAGAGGGTGAAGAGGAGGACAGCCGCTCAAGCCATGGCAGCTGGAAGCAGAGAAAGCAGGAAGGAGCCAGGGACAAGAATGTGCCCCCCTTCCAGGCCACACGCCAGTGACACGCTCCCCACCCCCACCCCCAGTCCTGCCCAGCCCGCTTCTGCACAGAACACTCACCCATAAACTCACCAGTGGGTTAATCCTCTCAGACAAGTACAGCACCCACTCCATGATCCAATCACCTTGCAAAAGCCCCCCTTCTGCACACATAAGACTATGGGAGGCATTTTAGATCTAAACCTCAACAGATGAGTGTGAGAGTCTCACTCAAATTCTGCAAGGGCATCCTGAGAAGCATAGAAGCTACCTGTCAAAACTGTCTACTAAAGGACAAAAAGTTGGAATATTATCCACCGGCTTCCACCCCGCACTTGCAGTCTGCTTCCCGGTACACAAGCCGTCCTAGTCCATCTGTGTGGTTCTAACAAATGCTTGAGACCGGGGACTTTGTAGAGAAAAGAAGTTTATTTGGCTCACAGTTTTGGAGGCTGCAAATCCAATCAGGTAGCCCCATCTTTCTGGCCTCTGGTGAGGGACCCCCGCCTGGGTCATATTATGGTGGACGACACCATGGCAGAAGCACGCAAGGAAGAAGGAGTTAAGGAAGGTAACAGGCCTGCATAGAACCTGCTGCTGTGAATATTAACCTAATCCCACAAGAGTCAGAACTACTATAAGACAGTCTTGATCCATTTAAAGACCTAATCAGTCCTTTTATTTTATTTTAAATTTTTTTGGGTTTTTTTTTTTTTGTTTGTTTTTCTTCCAGTACCAGGAATTGAACTCATGACCTTGCACTTGCCAGGCAGGCACTTTGCTGCTGAGCTAAATCCCCAGCCCTTTAAATTTTTTTGAAACAAGGTCTCACTATGTAGTCCACTATGTAGTTACGGCCATTGCTTGACCCAGTTGTTTTCAGTGAAAACTTAGGAGATTTTTTTCTCTTCTCAGACTTCTCAGACCAAGTCTGGCCTCAGACTTGCAGCAATCTCCCTTTCTCAGCCTCCTGAGAACTGGGATCACCTGCTTTTGCCACCACACCTGGAAGTTCTCCTTAAATGACAAGAATAGATCTGTGCCTACAGGCTCACGGATCTGAAGCCTGGATTCACACAAACTAAGTCACCTGAAACACCTCAAGGGAAAAATTTAGTGTAAAACCAGCAGGGCACTACGGTGTGCACCTGTATCCCAGGCTACTCAGAAGGCTGAGGCAGAACAACCACAAATTTGAGGCCAGCCTAGGCAATTTAGCAAGACTTAAGCTCAATAACAAATAAATAAAGTCAAATAGCCCCGACTGGCAGAACCACAAAGCTCGCAGAAGAAGCACTTAAAATATCTTATGGAAAAATATATCTTAAAACCAGGCCTCAAAAAAGTTCCCATGGGGCTGGGGATTTAGCTCAGCGGCACAGCACCTGCCTGGCAAGCGCAACATTGTGAGTTCGATTCCCGGTACCGGAAAAAAAAAAAAGTTCCCAGCGGTAAAATTCCAAGGACCGTCAATACACAATTTTTTTTAAAAAACTACAAAATATGCTGAATGTGTTGGTGCACACTTGTAACCCCAGCACTCTGGGAGGCTGAAGCAGGAGGATGGCAAGTCTGAGCCCAGCCTGGGCAATTTGGTGACTTAGTGAGACAGTTTCAAAGTAAAAAAAAAAAAAAAAAATTAATATTTTCATTAGTACACATTTGTAATACATAATAATTACATTTATTGTGAGGGGTTCGTACATGCACATAACACATCTTTATTCTTTCTTTCGTCTCCTAACCCTCCCACCCTTCCCTGCTTCTTCTGATACTTGGTCCCCTTCCCTCTTCTCTCTCCCTGCTCCATCTCTTGCACTCCCCCATCCATTTGAAAAAGATCTTCCTACTTCCTATTTATCTTTTTAAAATTTTGCTTACATATATGAGAAACCATGCAGTATTTAAGCCTGTATATCTAATTTATTTCACTTAGCGTTATGGTCTCAAGATGCATCTATTTATCTATGAATGCTTTCTTGTTTTTGTCTTTTGTTTTTGAGACAGGGTCTTGCTATGTAGTTCAGGCTGGCCTAGAACTCACTATGTAGCCCAAACTGGCCTTGAATTCACAGAGAATCTCCTGCCTCAGCCTCCTGAGTGCTGGGATTACAGGCATGCACCACCACACCCAGCTCGAAGCAGAAAATTTTAAAGAGGACTGAGGAAATAGCAAAGTACAAAGGCCTAGAGTTTAATACTCAGTACCACAAAAAAAAAAAAGAGAGAGAATTTACAAAATACACAAGGAAAGAAGCCACCACAAGCAAGAGTTGAAGGAAACATGCAGCAGAAATATCCACGCAAACTTCAGACGCTGGAATTGGGCGTGGCTCTTCTCTCTGTCCCATCTCTCACAGCACCCCGTGGAGCCCATCTGTGTGGCCAGCAGCAGTGTGCTGTCATTTGCGCCACTTCTCACTGGGTCTTCAGAGGACACAGGCAGGAGGTTGGCGGCATGGAAGGAGGCATCCAGGTGGCCATTCCCACAGCACTGTAGGTTCTTGCAGCAATACTACGTACTTCTGCATTTTTCAGTCAGTGCATAGACACACAATTGATTTTCGTGTGTTGGTCCTCTCTCTGAAACTCTGCTGAATTCATTTATCAGCTTTTCTACAATTTTTCATGGTTCCTCTGCTATTATAAGATTACTGCATCTTGGGCTGGGGATTTAGCTCAGCGACAAAAAGCACCTGCCTGGCAAGCGCAAGGTCGTGAGTTCGGTTCCTGGTACCGGAGAAAAACTAAAAAAAAAAAAAAAGATTACTGCATC